AAAAAAAAAACCCCAAAGCAGACCCGAAACCCCCAAAGTAGTCCCAGAGACCGGAAATAGATTCGTTTTGATTGTTGATGTATGATTAGGACGACCGTCAGTACTTTATTTCAAAGGACAGTACATGTTTTTCTTTTTTTATTTTTCCTGGAGGAAACAAGATGCTGTAAGGAGTGGCGAGTCCATCCATGTCTATGTACACAGATGGCACAAAATCTCGAGACGGAATGGGTGGCAATCGACAGGGCCACAAATCTGGTAAGGTGCGATGTGATATCCCAAGCTAATATCTACATTTTCACTGACAGGCGACATTCAAATCGTTTAAGAGGCAGTCGGCCGGGAAAATGCTTCACATCTTTTAACGAGTTGGCTGTGTCATTTCGCTCAAAGGTAATATGGGCTCCGGGACACTGCAACATACTGGCGAATTGTAAGGACGATGAAATGCGTGATAGTATTTGTTATAACAGGACAATTGGTAAGCGTAAGATTACATGACTTCTTTGGAAGTTGTCAAGGTGAACAGGAGGATGAAACGATTCGGCACCGGTTGTGCCAGTGTCCTGCTCTGTTAAGACGAAGACTCCACTCTGGGTGCAAAATTCTTCGATAACTTGGAGGACCTTAGTTGCGTGTAAATCAAGGATGCAAGGAAATTCCAGCGAAATTCAAAATGGTTTTAGCAGGAATTGGGAGCTGCTGACCCCACATGCGGCTGCACGATGGGCCTTTAGCTTAAGTCTGTCTCATAAACGACCATACAACCTAACCTAATCTATCCTCGAACAGACTGCTTTGATTTTCCTTTTTCTTCCTCCGGGACGTCAAAACCACCATTGCATTTTGTAAAAAAGCATGGAAGTTGCCATTCGGATCCAAATACTTCAGATCACATTTCAACCTAATCGTTCTTACGAGTATCATCTACGGTAACCTCACAGCCGAAACACTAAGCTTCTATAATTGCTATTTCATTGGGAGCCTCAAACCTCCCCACCTATTTTTTTACTTCCCACTCTCCTTTTTATTCTTCAACTCACCGCTCATGACGCTTTATCGACTCTGGCACACTTCTGGGGTCATCCTTCACGACATAAAGTCGTAATCCCACTAAGCTGACCCGGAACAATTCCTTCCAATCGAGATGACGCATATCAAAGCCAAATATCTGTTTATCTGCACCTTCGAGTTTCTCCGACAACGCACGCACATTATCATTATCGAACTTGAAATCATTTGAACTGAAGTATTCCATCACAGAACAGAATTTATGTATTTTCCGATATATTTTCAACATTCTGTAAAATACAATAAAGTTAAAATCAGGCGAATTATTATTTAATCGACTTTCTAATTTCCGATTTGAAATAAATTCAATCACATCTGTACGCACCTAGGCTTCTTGCCCACGACAATCATGGACAGATCCATGAACATGGCTGGCACTGTGTGATATAAAAAGGACAAAATCACAAATTGCCAGCGCCAGGGAACAATTGTGAAACGTGGATACCAAATTGACTTGCGCATCGGTATATTGCAGCCATATTCGAAGCCATATTCCATATACTCCTTCCAGGTGACCATGTTGTCGGCATCTGGCACATAGTTGTAGATGGGTGGTGTATCATAGCTGTGAAAGAGGAAGTATAAAAAACGTGTCCAATAAAATAACAGTGGAAAGACTTTTTTATGCCAAGTTTCATAGACAACTTGATATGGTTACTTACGTATTGCGCGCTATATCCCAAGCACTGGCCAGCAACGCATTCACCGACAAATCCACTGGCACTATATTGGCTTTGTTGTCGACCTTCCCGCTGAAGACGCGCAAAACACCGGAACCGATGCCAACAATTATGCCACAAGGGCCATACATGTTATCGATCCAACCAGAGATGGGTTCCTTGTAGGTGGTGATAACTGGTGTGGAAATAACAATAGTACTTACTTAATTAAAATTAATGAACTTAGCTGGAAATTAAGAAAAAGGTAAGCTTTAACGAGAATTCCAAATTTAAACCTATCCCAATAAACCTGCGACAGGTTCGTACGATATCTGAAGCTACTTTAAAGTAGTCATTGTAACGCATTAAATTGTTTAATATAAACTTTATAATATGATGAATTTATTGCTATTTTTTCGATTTAAGCCAGAGTGGAGCTATGAGTTACGAGCGACAACTTTAAAAGTCGGACTTTTCTGGCTTAAAGACTGACTGAAATCACGGACGACTTTCTATCAGTAGGTGAATGAATCTGGAGCTCACTTACGATTAGCTCGATAAGTAGTCCTGGGAGCACCTGAAAAATATGTTCAGGCTCTGCGCTTACCATGATTCCAGAACGCATTTTGCATAAAAGTCGGAAAATTTTGCCATCCTGGCAGTACCTCCGACACTGAGAGGGGCTTATCGGCTTTGTCATAGCAGGAGACATTGAATAAGGTAGTACCACCTACCAGCCTCCAAATATTCATAAAGACACGTGGGTGTATCCTAACTAAAATACGAAAAATCGAATTGGCAGTTAGACTAACATATTTGTTGACATTCATTCCACCCGAAGAGCCAAAGTGCGCATGCGGCTCTTTCTCGGCTGCCAGCTATACAAAAAGTTGACCTCGGAAAGCTTGTGACTGGACCTGCTTAAATAAGCACCTTCTCATGGAACAGATAGTTAAATATTCGCTTCGGAAGAGGTAGTTGTTTATTACCACCTTCGGCAGCTGATTGATAGCGCCAGAAAATGGGAAAGGAGAGATGTAATTTAAACATGAATGAAAATCAAGCTTAGAGAAGTGCCAAATGAAAGAGAGTAATAAAGCTTCGATTCGAAATGAGGTTTTGTTTTGAAGACCATCTTTTAAAAGCGTTCAATTTAACTAAAGTGAGATTTTTCAATGGAAATATCCTTCTTCGTTCAAGAAAAAAATTTTAAACCAGCTTGCCCATACTTTAATTAATAGTTTCTTTCCCCAAATTTTAAAACCTCTAAAACTGTCAAAAGACAAAAGAAGCCAGAGAACGGAGTACGAGAACGCTTTCTGGTAAATTCCTGTAAATTCTTGCAACTTCTTGCGAGTTAGGGAACGCAACTTATTTATTCTGTTTAGGAGAAGATTGGTAACTGCTTCTTATGTCATCCAGCACAGAAAATCTGCAATTGCTTTTTGTAAGTAACTACAAACGAACTTTAATGGACTAGTTCAGGGCTATTTCAGGCTCCCATGTTTACGGCCATTTCGTGACTAGTTCGGGATCTGTCCAGACCCTAAAATTCCAGAACCATTTAGGGCCAAGTTCGGGATTATTTTGGGATAGTTCAGGACCGTTGCCCGACTAATTCAGTACTAATATAAGACCATTTTGGGACCATTCAGGAGCCGTTCAATAGCATTTCGAGACTAGTTCACGATTTTTTCGACCGTTTCGAGGTTTGTTCACGACTATTTGATTTAGAAACTATTTCAGAACTGTTTCGGGATAGTTTACGACTGGTGTAGAAACATTTCGGGATTTGTTCGTGATAATTTTGACACCATCTCGGGTTCATTTTAGACTAGTAATGAACCTTTTCGAGATAATATTAAAACTTGTTTGAGATAGTATCGGGTCAAGTTCACGACTTGACAGAACTACTTGCAAACTTTTTATTTCAGATAATTTTGAAACTAGTACGGAAACATTTCGGGGTAGTTCGAAATAAGCGATGAAATAATTCTGAAATAGTTCTGCAGTAATCCCAGAAAATAGAAAAAAGTATAGACAATTACCATTTTTTCCCCGCTTTCGAAAACGAGAATCCCTCGTTTTTCCCACACTCTAAATTTACGGGTATTGCATCCCCAGAAAAATCTTCTTAAAAAGTTAAAAGTTAGCATGAAATTTTATTGAATTTTCCTGAGTTTTGCACAAAATTTAGAAACTGTATTTTTATGTTTATTTGCTTTAGTATTAACCATATTTTTATTAAAATCTAGCTAAAAGAAATTAAAATTCAAATTTCTTTTGTATACGTTGTGAAAAATTCTCTGGGCAAATACTTCTGACCGGTAGTGTATGTAGCCCTATGGTCAGCTGATTAAGTTAAGTGAGATTTTGACCAGTTTTGGCTGTTCTTCTTTTGTCTATTGAATATTTATATTTATACCCGAGCGCACTTGTGCACAAGGGTATTATAACTTTGTTCACATAACGGTTGTTTGTAACAGGCAAAACGAATCGAGATAGATATAGACAAATGTATACATAAATGATCAGAATGAAAAGAGAAATCGATTAAGCGGTGACTGTCTGTCCGTCCGTCCGTCCGTCCGTCCGTCCGTCCGTCCGTCCGTCTGTGCACACGATAACTCGAGTAAAAATTGAGATATCTTATCGAAACTTGGTACGTGCACTTCTTTTGGGCGTGGGACGGATGGTATTGAAAATGGGCGAAATCGGATAATAACCACGCCTACCTCCCATATAACGGTAATTTTAAGAAATACGAAAACTGCGATATTTTAGTAACTGCTGAAGATAATTCACTCAAAATTGATACTTACAATGAGTTTCAGACGGAAAACATGAATATTATAAATTTTTGGAAAATGGGCGTAGCCACGCCCACTTATGGTTACATGTGTATATCTTGGTAACCGCTGCACCAATTTCTTCCAAACTTGGCACAGTTGTTGGCCTTAGTACAGCTTATTAAATGGCTGAAAATTTTAAAAATCGGACAATAACCACGCCTACCTCCCATATAACGGTAATTTTCAGAAAAACGAAAACTGCGATATTTTAGTAACTACTGAAGATAATTCACTCAAAATTTATATTTGCAATGAGTTTTAGACGAAAAATAAGAATATTACAAAATTTTGGCAAATGGGCGTAGCCACGCCCACTTATGGTTACATGTGTATATCTTGGTAACCGCTACACCAATTTCTTCCAAACTTGGCAAAGTTGTTGGTCCTGGTACAGCATACCAACTGGCCGAAAATTTCTAAAATCGGACAATAACCACGCCCACATCCCATATAACGGTAATTTCGAGAAATACAAAATCTTCGATAAATCAGTAAATATTGAAGCTAATTTATTCAAAATTGATGATTGCAACAATTCTTTACCAAGAAATACGTTTATGACAAAATTTTGGAAAATGGGCGTAGCACCGCCCACTTGTGATCACATATATGTATCTCGCTAACCGTTCTAGCAATTTGTACCTAGCTCGGTATGGTTATTGTGCTTGCCACATAAAAGCAAACCGTTGAAAATTGTTGAAATCGGACTAAAATTGAGGCCGCTTTTCATATAACGGTAAATTTCAGATATGCTTGAAACTGCAATATTTCGAAATTTAAGGACGCTAATTTACTTAAAATGTATACACCCCGGCTTATCATGTAGCGGTAGCTTTCGGAAAGGTGGAAAACATATATTTAATACTTGCGCCGGGTATTTAATGTTCGGCTCCGCCCGAACTTAGACTTTCTTACTTGTTTTTATAAAAGTTTAGCACATTACATAACCAGCACCACATAAATCCACATTTCAAAATTTTATAAAAAAATTATAAATATTAAATAAACAAAAAAGTTAACATATGCGTAGATAGTCAAGCAGCGATTAAGGCTATAAGTTCATAGCAATTTATGCCCTTAGAAGCAGGGAGGCCATAAATAGGGCACCAGCTACCAGGCGACTGCATATTTATTGGGTCTCCGGCCACAAGGGCACTACAGGTAACGAAATTGTAAATGAGATTACCAAGAGCGGAATCCACTTGGTTCTAGAACAAGAGAATAACATTCCGAAACCGCTAAAAAATCTTTATAACGAAATAGACCAGAGGGTGAAAAGGCTATATCGAGATGGAATGTGTTAAACACCTACCAAATCTCTAAAATCATATGCAGACTGGAAAACGGGACACAAGTCCTGTTTATATATCGCAGGCACGAAGAGACTGCAGAACTAGGAGAGGTGTCCTAACAGGACATAACATGTTGGCAGCGCACGCAAGCAAAATAGGGATTGCTGTCAGTCAAGTTTGCACAGAACACATCCTATGCCATTGTCCTGCTGTATCAAAAACCCGATTGAAATATCTCGGAGCTCCAGAGTTAAACCATCTTTAAGACGTGACAGCACTTGGGCTTCAAGCACTGCTGAAATTCTCAAAAAGCGATGACATCCTAAATGTAACCTAAATAAATAAATATAAAAAAAAAAACCAGAATGTCATTTAACTTAATCAGTTGACCGTAACTGTATATAGACATCTGGAATACGTGACTGATGGACCTATGGCAATTCGAATAGCCTATGGCAGCTGGACAGTTTAAATTACTCTGAAGGGTAAAAAAAACTAAAAATTCCACAATTCACATTTCCTTTTTTCGAAGACCTATGTCAAATTTGCGATTTCACTGTCCAAAAATAAAATGCTTTCTCTCTCATAGCAAAATTATTTTAAGCCGCTTGCCACAGGTAACTAAACGCGCCGCACACAAATTGCCTGTCAAATGAGTTGTTTCGTAAACTTTCGGCAATGGCTTATTGTCTTTCATCAAATCCTTTACTAAAATCGTCCAGGGTTATTACTTTGAATTGGCCTATTTGCAATAGAAGGATTGCCACTCGCATTACAGCTTGCCATCTGAGCCACCCAAATTACCTGGACAACCGAAATACCAAACGTTTCCGCTGGTACTTTCGAGAAGTGTTTCGACCAACCGACCAACAACAAATGTAATTTCCTAGCTTTAGCATTTTGTTGTTGCTGCTTCTAAGCTTAAAGCTGTTATTGTTGTAGCAGAGCAAAAGCAGAAATGTCAATTTCATTAAATAAATCTTACCAATGCCTGGTCGAAATATCGTCACTGGCAATTTCTCCGCATAGTTTTGTACAATGTCCTCGGCGAGCACCTTTGTGTATGTGTACGTGTTCGGATATCCTTTGATTATGGTTGGCGCTAGCTCGTTGAGCGTGTGCTCATCGAGACATTCGCCCAGTTTGCAGGCATTCTCACCGGTAATAGTGCTGTGATAGAAACGCTCCTGTATATAACGAAGATTGCAGTGGGCAAAGGCGGTCGAGACGTGGACGAATGCCTGGATGCGGTGCAGGCAATTGAAGTGAGTGCGGGGCAGCAGCAGCAGCAACAGCATAGCGAGAAAACACGAAATGAAAGAAATTGAAATGAAATGAAAGTGAGATATGTACATACATGCGAGACAACAAAGCAGTAAATAGAAACATAAATTGCTTGATGCACACACGCACACAAACTCGTACGGCACAGCCAAGAGGATTGAAAGCCAAACGGCATTCGTAGATAGGACGGAGTATTTGTGGCGGTCAAATTGAAATCGTTCCCTAATAACAAAGCCAGGTTAACCAATGCACGCACATACCAAAGTAGACACTTGAAAATGCACGCTTACGAAATTACAAAACATCCAACAGAAACTCAACGAAAACTACTCTTAAGCATTTGTTTGCCAGTGTGTGCGTGTGCGCTTATATCCTTGCACGATTACCAGACCAGCTTACCTTCAAGTGGACAATCTCTTTGGCCAACTGCAATATCTCCTTTGTACCATTCACATTTATGGCAATGGCCATTTTCAATTTCTCATCGAAACGCACCGTCGCCGCCCCATGGATGACAATGTTCACATTCTCCTTGATTAGCTCACGTTCGGTTTGCGTGATGCCCAACGCGGGTAGCGAGCAATCACCGCTGATGATGGTGATTTTCTGCCGATACTTGGGATTGCATTTTTTCAATTTCTCAAACACCTGCCGGGCAAACATTGGGAAAATATAAGAGATGGGGAAATATTGAAAGAAAAGGTTGGAATATTAATACTTATGTACATACGTATGGATTTTTGTACTAGAAAAGGTGTGGCAATGCATAAAACAAAAAAAAAACATGAAATAAAATAAAAAATAACTTAGGCAACTATGTGGGTTGTCCTTTAATATCTATAACCGCCTTACACTTACAGGATCATTGAATAGATCATCGATGCGAGAATGGGCATCTTTACCCTTTTTAGTGCGTATAAGCAAATAGATTTGGCCCACTTCAGTGACGCGCAGCAATTTATCGATTATGACTGAAAAATATAAAAGGAAAAATATAATACTCAAAATATTTAGCTACATAAATATGTACATAATTTTAGAAGAAATACAAAATTTTTACTGGCTAGGAAGACTAAACTGTACTTACTTAAAGTTATCGCTTAAATATAATGGCCCATAGTTATAGCCAAAATAAAGCCGACTCTTAAGTTATAAAAAGCTGTTTCGACAGATATCCTAGTGAAAGTTATGTCAAAAAGCTGGTTTTAACTTTGAGATCGACCTAATTTTGACCAGGCCAAAGTTACTAGGCGTCTTGGAAGCGAGGTATCCAGACCACTACACTTATTAAGTTCAGTAATAATCTAACTAAAGGAGCATTACAAATACAATTAGGTTTAACATTTGGTATACAGAAGATATCCCACACGGCTAAGACTTTGCTCAGGTACATTAAAATTTATCCTACTCAGATGTGCAGGGCAGTCAACATTAGTCACAAAATAGCACGATAAAAATGTTATTCAACGTATTCAGGTTCTATTTTATTAATATGTCTGACATGGTAAGGCCACCAAATAAAAGTGTCATGTTTCAGATCAGAAAAGCGGACAACCACGACGAATAAAAGCAAATATAGCATACGATTTTGGAACAATGTAGTTAATATGAGCACAAAAAGCGAGTTTGAGATCGAAATAAATACCCAAGTATTTAATTTCCTCTACTGTTCTGGATTCAAAGCTAGCAATTTTATGATAGCTAAATATAAACTCTTTGGGAAAAGTCATATGAAAACACAATTTTCGTTTAAAAATAGACACTTTCTCTCACGCCAAAGGTTAAGTTTGTCTAGATCAGACTGAGGAGCCATAGCGTCGTGCCTACATTTTATAGTTGAATAAATTTTTAAGTCGTCAGTATATAGGAGATACTTTGTTAAACTAAAACATGACTAATGTCACTACTAAAAAGTACAAATATCAAAGGCCCAGGTATACTACCCTCTGGCACACCAGATGTCGCAATAAAAGATTCAGAGACTGTATTGTCAAGGATAATCTTTTGGATAAGTCGGATTTTACCCAAGATGAGAAGGGTGAGTGAAAACCCATGCAAGCGAACTTAGAAATCAAAATATTGCGGGGCACCCTGTCATAAGCCTTAGCAAAATCTGCGTATATGTATAGTGTCTACTTGATGACCCGCTTAAAACGCTTCGTGACAATCGCCAAGAAATACCATGTCCACACCGGAGCTAACCACGTAGTTATGGTTATTGAGTTGGGGGTTATCGGGATACCCACTCGATTTAGCGTAGTTTCGCCATATAGAAATGACAGCACTTAACCATTCCACTTAAAAAATTCGTTCCCTGCTAGTGTTTGGATTTAATTAAGATCAGATTAGATTTACTCCGGTTTTTGGAAAAATTTGAGATCTACTCCGCTTGACTTCAAATCTATTCCCTTGTTTTTTTTCTATTCATGTTAATAGAAAATAAAAAATTCAATCTAGTACGGAAAATTTGTTTTTGCTCCGATTTTTGCAGCTCTTAAGTCCTGAATCGAGTTTTGGTTGTCCGAACGCTGTTCTTTACATTTGTACCATTTTATAAACCTCAAACCGCAGTGTGGACAGCAATAGTTAGTGATGTGGTTAAGTTCGATTTGAGATGGTTTTTGGTGGGGACATGGTAAAACAGCGCTAAGTTGGTGACAGTAGATCTTCCTTGAACGAAACCGTGCTGGCTCGGCTTTCACAATAGACTCAAAACTCTTTGCAATGGAGGTGAGTTTTTAAACTTTTTCTTTCTACAAAAAATGTTGCTTCTTCATTGTCCCCTGATTAGGATTTGTGTGAAGAAGGCACTGAGAAGGCAATATTTTTCGGTACAAAATAAAACATCATTAGTTAGCTATATCATTTTTGTTGCCATCTTTTAATATCAGCGTTATTGATGCCTTTTTCATACCTCAATTAATACACCGGATTTATGGAAAGTAAAGTATTAAACAGAGCTGTAAAATGATTGAATCAATAGGATCTGCATTCACTCGGCATTCTTTTCAAAATTTTGATTGTTTGTTTGTATAAAAAAAAACCTCATTACTGAGTGGCTTAAAATACTTGAAAACAAAGAAACTGTGTTGTGTTATTGAATGGTAGATTGACATTCAGTATAGAATGTGAATGTAACAGAAGCATTCGCACACAGACATGATTGTATATTTAGAATGAATGCACACTTTTTTTTTACCATTCAGTACCAATAATTTGTTCCCAGGGTTGATATATTTTATACTTTAAAGTTTGAACATATCTGGAATTGAAACAAAAACAAATATTTTATTTCAAAGTATATGTACTTATGTATTGAAGTTTTCTGCCACTAACCCAAAGCCAATGACTCGTGCAATATTATTTATTCCAAAGCAACTTATCGCAACCGTAGAGCAAAACAGACACATCTTGATATGTATACATATACATCATCGATTGTAGACATTTTTTCGCAGAAGAATATACAAAATTGATTTATCACAATTATTTTTGTACTAAATATTTTTTTCACAGTATACAGTGATCCAGGTAGCCAAAACAAAAAATGTAAACATGCTTATTTGGCATTTTGTTTGAATGTATTGGTTGATATTTTTTCACAGTTGTCGTTTTCGTTAACCCAAATGAAATCCAATTTAAATATTTTCTTATAGTGAAAAATATTTTCAAGTCACATAAAATAAAATAACGAGAAACACGAAATTCCAAGCAAATGAAGCGTGAAGCGTTAGCAATTATGACCGGATGCAGTTCCTACATAAGTCAAACCGTGTTCTGAACACAACTTTGAGTGAATAATGGTGGGCTGACTTTGTAAAATGGTCCCATCGATTAGGCGGTAAAAGAAGTATTACTTAGCTTATGGTACAGCTCTCCAATTTTCAAATGCACGTAATTTGTGTGTATTTGTTCAGCCGATTATTCACATTTGAAGGAGGATAATGCATGAATTAATGCAAGTAAAGACGGTTTATGCAAATAAGCGAGCGCGTTTGTTAACCGTATAAAATGTATGTATGTAAATATATACACATATATTCAGAATGACGAGATGAACTAGTTCAGCCCTCTCTGTTTGTAAGCACGCTAACTCGAACATAATTTAGTTATTTTAACGAAAGTCGGTGTCGAAGTTGCCTTTGGTATAATTTAGGTTAGTGTTAAATTTTGTCGAAATCTGCCAATAACCACGCCCACCTCCCACGTAGTAATTAACAATATTTTTGTTTTATTATAATTTGTTTTATGAATTTTGCTGTTCAAATTTACATTTCAAATATATCAACAAACATTTGTAGGTACTTTTGCACCAGTTGTTGCCTATGGGTTAATGACAAAAAAATCCTATATATTCACAACATTTCATGTATTAGTTTTCAAATAAGCATATTGTCAATGGCTGGTTTGCTGTATACTGTGATTGTTTTCAGTTTTCAAATATGAAAACTTTCAAAACAAAATTTCAGAAGGGTTCCTGTTTTTTTTTTAAGGGGTTGAGGAGTTCCATTACTTTGAGCAACTTTTTTAATAAACTATTAATTTAAATGTTTCCTAAACATATTTACAACGCAGTTCTGCAAGAGGGTACCATAACTTTTTTTCAAATAACGTATATTTGGAACAATCAAAATTAATCGATATGGATACATACATTTATGTTCGTATGTACTACTTATGTATGTATATATACATAAAAATGCTCAGAATAAAAAGAGAAGATGATTAGTCCATGTCCGTTTATTTGCGTACACGAAAACTCTAGCAAAAGTTGAGATATCTCAACGAAATTCTGTACGAGGGTTTTTTTATCTAGGGCAGCAGGGTATTGAAAATACAAAAGTCGAACAATAACCTGGTCCCTCTCATAAAATGGTAATTTCGAAAAATGCCAAAACTACAATATTTCCTTAATTACAGGAACCAAATTGCTTAAAAACTGCCATGTTTATTATTATAGTTTTGGAAAATGGACATGGGATATATTGCTAGCTTTAAACATCAATTTGCTCAAAACATACGTTTAGAACAGTGTGCAAGCTTCTACCACATGTGTGGTAGATCAACCACGTATTTTTTTTTAAATTTGGGTGTCTACCACATCTACCACACAAGGCTTAAAATCTACCACATTTTTAGACAGAACATTTGTTTACAATTTTCACATAACTCTAGAATTTCAACTCAATTGTAATTTGAAATATAAAAATTAATCAATAGATTTTTAAAAAGGTACATCATAAATTTTGCTTTAAATATATCTGTGCCTTAACTTTCTAATATTTCAAAAATACGCCTATTTATATTTGCTAAAGTATTATGCAATGGGAAAATAATTTGGTCGATTTTTTTGCATACAAATAAAATATTATTTTCTTCATGATTATATTCTCTAACTAGAAAACTAATGTTATACTTATTTTTGCACCAATTGCGTGGAATCTGTACGATCCACTAGCAATTATATTTCCCGATTTAATTTTTGAGTTGTGCTTCTTTTGACGACGGTGTGCGATATGTATACCCAATAAAATATGAATTGGAAAATCTACCACATCTTATTCAAATCTACCACATTTTTTTCGATTCTACCACACTAAAATAAAAAGGGGTTTGCACACAGATTTTTTAAATCTTTTTTTGAGAAAAGATGATAATTTGCAACTTATTGTAAATGGTAGGAACCACCACAAACCCACAAATCAGGTTTTAGAATCTTTATTAAATGCTTGACCCAATAGCGAAGAAAAAAGTACGAAGAAACTTGTATTAAGAATTTTTTAAATAAGTAATAAAATGTATATATCTAAAGTTAGAATTAGAAGCGCTTAAATTTGTTTACTTATTTTAACGTAGATTTATAGGTATGTACATATGTAATAATTTCTGCACATACCTTTTATTGGTACATTGGTAATACTTATTTAGAAAGCTGACAATTTTCGAAACAGAGATGTAAAAATCGTTAATAATTAACATTTTTCATAATGACATTCTTGGCAGAAAAATAATTCTCTAATTAATATTTTCATTTATTATAAATATTTGTACAAATTTAAGTGAAACAAATTAATGATAACGCTCAATAAACTATTTTTCGAGTTGAAATTTTGAAATCTGTTCAATAAAATTCAACCTTGCGTATTTTTCAGTGGGTTTTGTGTATTTAGAATATTTATATCGATTGATTGGTACTGAATGAATGTGTGCACACATAGCAAAAGCTGCATTCATCTGAATGCTTATTCAGTGTTAAAAGTTAATGTTTCGTCATTCAGTTTTTTCAATCTTTCTTTGAATATGTTAATGTGTGCAATCGTATCTACTTTGAGTGAATGTAGAATTGGAAAATTATAAGCCACATTCCCCAACAAGGAAAAATTCAATGAAAACATAATAGCATAAAATTGATGATTTTTAATTTCAAATGATTTCACAGTTTTACAGCTCTGGTATTAAATAGGAAAAAAATATTTTCACCAACTGCATATCTGGTCCCTTTGTAAGCTCACTAGGTGGCGCTGGAGTCGAGTTATTTATAAAACCCGTTTTTATGAACCAACTAGGTTCAAATTCCTAAAGTTATGTTACTTGCGTGATAAAATATACTTTTGCCAAAAACGGTGCCGATAGGTGGCGCTGGAGTCGAGACATTTAGAAAATCCGAATGTATTGTACGATCAGATTGACATTAATTGTTATTATAAAATAAATAACCAGAAACAGATGTACTGTACTGCATTCGGTGTATTTTGGCTGTATGCCAGGAGAGATATAGTGAGTGCTGTCTAAAATACAAAAATGGACGAAGGTCTCATCAGACGGGAAATACGTTTTCTCTGATCCGGTGTGTTTTCAGCCTTATTGAGATCTAAAATCTAGCGGTGCAGAGGATTAAAGCTTATTGATAATTCGAATGTATAAAATTCCAAAAAAAAACAATGTATCCTAGAGTAATTGGTTATTTTCATATAGCGCATGATAAGTGCACCATAACTGTTAGTGCATTTGGAATTTTTCTTTGCATACGAATGATGAAATTGTCATAATGTCTAATAAATCACATGTTTTTACGTAGCACATGTCAAGCTTAAGCCACTTAGTGGTTGTATGTATATTTAATATGAGCATATAAATATCAACAAAATTCATTTTAAGTTAAGCAATACTCACTTTTTCCAAAGAAACCGGTGCCACCGGTTAGGAAAACACCTTTATCCTTATAAAATTTCTGTATGGGCGATTCATCTGCAAAATATTTAACAGAAAAACAATTTTAGCAAAAAACTAAATAAACGAGAAGCATAAAAAACGCTTCTGTATAGTCAGCATTAAATATTGCAAAATAAATTGGTTTGTAAGCAAAAACAGACACTAATGCGCCCTCTGAAATGTCCGTACGTTGCGAAGAACACACACATAAGTATGTGCAGGTATATATGTTTTTATGTACTTATACATATGTACATTACGGTGACCCAAAATTTCTTTCATCCAGCCACCCCATGCCGCCGGGGCTTTGAATTTTCCCATGTATTTTACATCGGGAAAATACATTTTTTCTTAAAATTGCAATAAAATCGTGAAATATAAATATTTTTTGATCGAATAAGACTATTTCCCTACAGAAGTCTTCAAAAAATAACACCATGATGCTTATTTAACTTAAAAATTTTACTAAATATGTTTTAATAACACGATAATCCTATCTGTTATATACAAAAAAAAAATTGTTTTATGTTTTCGTAACCAGATCACGAACGAACAGCTCAATGGATGTGTTTAATTCTTTTTTGCATTCTACACGATACCCTCTGTAGGTTTGAGGTAAAAAGTTTGAAAGCTTAAAATTATTTAAATAATTATATTTAAAAATATTTTTGAACGGGCTGCCTTTCTAAATAAAATAGAACAATGATTATTAAAAATTTAAGCTTAGCAAGACCTCTAACAACGACTACAATACGGTATTCGGTTTACACAATTAGCCACACCCATTCTTTTTTTTCAAGTAATGTTTTGATGTCGCATTTCCAAGCAAAACTGTAGTTTGGGGGGTTCTGAAAATCCAAGGACAACACACCACCGCCAATTACACCCATCCAGATGCACTGTTTGGTGCAGTGTTATGGTTGAAAAAGTTGTTAACTAAGATGCGTTATTTAAGTTAAGTAAAATTACGAAATCTGCATTTTTGCACATTCGATAGTTTGACATAGTCGCGACGACCTTAGCACCTTTTGCTTGAAATTGATATTTTACTTAACCGCATGTAGCATGATTTAAAAAAATTGTATTATAGACACATGGCAACCCGTTCTAAAAATATATGCGCCTTAAAGTATGTATTTTCAAAAACCTTTGCTGGGCGTGCATAAACCCTCCATTTGATACCCATATTGTAGTATTAAATAAGCCTACATTTTTAATAAACGTTGTTGTATTTTTTAGATTTTTTTATTTTTAACGATTTTATTGCAATACTACGAAGAAATTTATTTTCCCGATGTACAATACAACTTGACGGATTTCAAAGTAAAAAAATACGTGTCTCCTTATTTTTGATATTCTTCAGTTCTGGAAGGCGGCAACAGCAAAAATTAAAAAAGGTGATTTTTCCACCATATTTTTTTGGACCAGCCAAATGTTGATATATATGTAGTACATTATCTTATGTTATGTATATGAATGCGCCACAAAAATGCGCACCAACTTAATGACACTTTCGAGATACTCATAAAATTATGCAAGTGCCTAGCTGTGACGACTGCCACCACCCGCATCAAAGCCACCCATCCATCACTTTCACGTCAACAACGAATTTCATTATGAATGCGCATTTTGGACGTAGCAAATAAGTAATCAAACGTTGAAAGCGCTGAGCTGTGCTTGAATTTTTCCTCGAAAAGGCCCATTGCGCCTGCGCGTAATTACACCACATATACGACGCATAAATATCAGAGCAATTATTCACGCACACACATACATATGCATGTATGTATGGATGTGTTTGCATGGACGTATGTACATACGTATGTAGGCATAGACTTGATTATTTTTGTAAATCGCTTGCAGTAAATATTAAAAGAGTGGCATCAAAACACTAGTTACAAACGTAATTTATTGATACTATATACAATAGTAAATCCTTTAAATCTTGTGTCAAGCCTATTGCAGAAATACAATACATAATGGGGTGAAGGCAGAGATAGCCAATATGGAGGATGAAGCATTGCAACATCTAATTTGTGGTTGCCAGGCATTGGGAAGGCTACAGCAGCAACACCTACGGTATCTAGTGGAGATCAGCAGCTATGGCCGGGAAAATTACCCCAGTTATATTTTAAGTATTCCGGAGATTAACATTAAGACTTATCGTCCTAACTGCTGGTAATACTATGAACTGGATGTCTGCATAAATACACTCGAAACTAACCTATGCAAGTAGACTTGAGGAAGAGAAACTTAGTGCCTGAAAGGAGAAGAATACCACAATTTCGTATAACTGAGCGATGTTATTCGACGTCGCTCCCTTGCACAACCACATATTTGAGCGTATTAAAAACTGAACGTAGTATGAAAATGGTTTGTTTCTGAATGTCACTAAACAAACGCTGCAAAAATACCAGCACGCCATGTCCAGGCAGTTAAAAAGTTAGATGAAAGTATAGAGTTAAATCTGAGTGGCATAAAACCATTGAAAACTTTTAAATTACATAATCCCTTCTGATCTAATTAGTCTCATTATGAGTATTATTACCAATATGTGATTTTCGAGGAGTTAAGGCCGCTGCCGACTCAGTTGCCTTAGTTGCAGTATACAGATCCAGGCCTGGAAAATACAAAAGTAGTGTGGGAGCTTATACGGCTTTTCATGTCCAAGTTCCGAACAAAATACAGCAGCTTCCACTTCTCCATTCATTTTAGATACATCCGTAATGGATGAAATGGCAGATGTTCTGATTGGTCCGGAATCTCTTCTTCCTCCTGCCGTGCTTTCTTATATAGTTTAGCACATTCTTAAAACCGGTTTAAGTAAAATTAATTTACTTAGCCGTTTACCTCACGTTAATTACTGTAAATTTTCGAATTTTATCTACTGCTGCCGTAGCGAACTTGACGGAATCAGCTGTTCGTGTGACGTCATCATAGAAATGCTCGCACTAAAATTGTTCTCACGTAAATAAACACAAGTGCAACATTTAGTACCGGACCCGAGTTTTCTCTTGGCAAACCTGCTTTGCATTCTCCAAATCTTTGCTACATAAGTAAACCGCAAACAGTACTTAAATATATATGTCGATAAGGCTAGAGATTAACACAGTATCTCCTTTTTGCGGAAATGCAGAGAATGTACCTTCGGGATGCGCGGTCTTAGAGAGGTTTAGTGATCTTTAATTCCACCCCAGTCTAAGTAGTTTCTCTGCTAAGGTCTTCAGCATCCTATGTGATGACAGGAAAGTGGGTTTATATGAAATATTCCACCGTTTCCTCGCTGTCCTTTGTTCATTCACCATTCTCTTTTCATATCAGTAATGGCAAGAACATTAGGCATTCCAAAAAAGCTACAAGGGTGGACTACTAGACGTTGGTTTTGGGTCCGAGTGAATGTTTCACCACCCATATTCCAGCGAGAAAAGACTCGATGGGTGTAGTATCTGAAATCGAGGTCCTATTAACTCATTTACGAATGAAACGAAGCTGAATGGGAAAGTGGGTTGAAATGTCTTCTGCGAATAACTCTCGATCAACCTAAAATTTAGGCAGTCGTACCGCTTTAGCGTTCAAGCAGAGGTAGACGCTATAAAATAGACTTCGGAATGGTTGCTCCCTTTTGTAACAATACTGAAGGAGGTAAATGTCTATTCCGGTACAAAAGCAACTATCAAGACTCTTGGCTGCTTGGTGGGTCGATCAATAACCATTGGATTACAACGCCATTAAGCTTATGTGGTTTCCGCACCACGGAAAAATTGCTTAAAACTATATGGTCAGTGCGCACGGAAGAAAGTTTTAATGCTCCCCTGATTTCGTGTGGTCTACTTCTGGACAGATTGGCCTTTAGTCAGCTCAGTGAGCGCTAGGCCAAGAACTTGGGATACAAGGTGGATGAATCCTTCTGGTCACGTGCTAACCGGAGTCGCTCCAGGGAGCTCTTGAGACTAAAAAAATACACCTCCTGCTATTGGTGGGAGTTCTAAATGGTCATTGCATAGGTAGGGCGATGACCTTTACTATACCAACTGCAAGGAATACAATGAGGTGGAATCATCTCAGTATTTGCGAACCTACTAGTTCATTTGCACCAAGCCTTAATTGCAGTTTATGCCTATTGGTAGAAGTGAATTACAACTCGAAGGGGGTTATTGCTCATATTTAGTACAAGCAAGCGAAAAGAATGAAGCAAAAATTAAGAAATAAACCTTGCGATAACCTCTCGTTAAAATTATTATAACTAATCTGAGCTCTAAACTGCATATGAGCGTTTGGGCATGAAGCGTTTCCAATCCCGCCCTCCATGTCTTTACTCTCCCCTCACCCTTCTGGGGTCTTTTCCCCCTCCGCACTTAAGAGCGCCTCAATGGATACCTTAAATCCGAGCGCTGTGCGTAAAATTAAAACTAGGCTTCATATTTGCTTGAAATATCCATCGCAGATCTCTACTTTGTATTTACCTGGTCTATGTGTTGTTTTACCTGCCATACTATCCAATAAGGACAAAATGTGTGTAATGTAATACATGACGTGGTACCCAGGCTCGTAAAAATTTGCAAGCCTATAACTCCAGTTCTTCAGAGCCTTATCGTGCACATTTATTTTCTAACAACCTCCTAAGCTTTTGCATTCCGGGTCATATTTCTGCCTCCAAGCAGAGGAATAGACCCGTATCTTTGGCGGAATAAAGTTTAATTTCTAACTTACAGATGACGTGAAGTAATCTCAACCATGTCATGAATTAATTAAAACCAAGTTAAAGTATATCTGTCCCCATCAAAATCCGCTCCCATCCAAATCCGCGACAGTCCAAGAAACTACTGGGTATATATGCGCTTAATATGCACGACATTAAATCTATCCCCTGATTGACTGGCTGAGTGAACAAAAGTGACAAGCTTGACATCGAAAGTGGTGATTTTTTATACTCGTAAAGTCCCCGCAAGTACTCCTACGTAAATACATACATACGTACGCAGTAAATTAAACTACATTAGCGTACCTATCTATGCCCTCTCCCTATGTGAAGGCGC